TAAGAAGGTGCTATTTAAGAGACTGAGCTGAAAACAGCACCTCAGACTGAGGAAGTCTCTTGGATGAGAGACGAAACGTTTCTAGATTTCTTTTGCTTTGTTTTGCTTTTGTTTTTTTGAATGTCCAGAGGACCAGATTGAACTTTTTTGGATTTTTCTACCTGGATTATTGAGCATGCATCAGGAACAGATTAAAATTATCAGACATGCTTATTTGGATTTGTGTTTCCTTTTAATCTTGCTTCTCCCAGCTCCTCTGTAGAAGAATGTTATTTTTGGAAACAGAGACATAATGAAGGTACAAATTCAAGTATTGATCCCATCACGTTAGTATCGATACTGTCTGACACCAACACTGTAAGTGTATTGCTGCAGTGGAATCTCATTAATCCGGGACATGGCAAAGAAAACAGACAAAGCAACTGGGCTTCTGTTCTGTAGCTGAAGATGCAAGAAGTTCCAAGATAAAATGAGAAAAAATGGATTTGGGTTGCATTTACCTGCAGTGTGAATGTAGCCTTGTACAAAAAAAAAAAAAAAAATTAAAAATTAAATCGTAAGACCACAAAAGAATTGTTTTGTCAGGTATATTTTGTACTTTGTACAGTGCTCTGAGACAACATCTGTTTTGATTTAGCACTATATAAATATACTGAATTGAAATGAATATATTTTTATAGATGTATATTTTTGTAGACATATTGAACATAAATATATTTCCATACTGAAAACACATGCACTCTTTTAAAGCCATAACGACTGTCCACTCATTAACAAAGTGCCTAAATGGTCTTATTGTTATAAATCACTGTAATATAAATTAACAGTTAAACTGTTAATTTATAGTATAGTGATAGCAGTTGCATTATTTCCCCAACAGATGGCAAAATAGGACATTTCATTTACCAGTAATTTTAATTTACACATTTTTAAATTAAAATCACATTTGTATATATAGTTGGAGGATGTGATTTTGATTTCTCGTTCAAGAAGTGAAGCAACTCTGGTTCATATTAACAATAAGTCAAAACAAAAATAAACTAAGAGTAGATTTAAATGGCAGAGAATGAGAGAGAGTCAATATAAGGTTTAACAATGGAGCTGCTCAGAGTCCAGATTCACTGCAAAACACATTAAATATACATTCAGCGCAGTGCTTTTAGATACTGGCTCGATGCTGTAGAAGTTGCCTTTTTAGTATTTAAGAGTAAACAACAATTAATGCTTACAATATATTCTGGTATCTGCTAAATTTTGTTACTCTGTGGGAAAAAACCCTAATGGGTTCTGCAAAAGCATCTTGAATTTAAAATCAAAGCACAGAGTGCTCATTGACTTACATGACCAAATGTGTGGAGGTAACAGCAGGAAGAGAAAGAGTAGACAGCGCGCTGCCATGTTTTTCCAGTCTGGTACTGGTTCCAGTGAAGATCCTTCCTCTTCCTGTTGAGGTCCGTCCCAGGATAGCCTGCTGCACCATGGCCATGTCTCCGGCCAAAAGAGACGAAGGGTCTAAGGTTAAGAAAAGGAGGAAAATAACTAACCAATGCACAGTGTAATTAAACACTGCTTTACAAATTATATATATATATATATATATATAGAGAGAGAGAGATAACACCCACAAATCTGATGAAAAAATAAGCAGCATTGTTATAAAAGGATAATTTCTATAGATATTTATAAAAACATTGTTTTAACACACCCATATGCACACTACAGCTTCTCAAACATGTATTGTCTTACAACATTTAACATTAAAGAAAGAGAAAATTGCTCACCTGTAACTCCTAATATTTTTGATACAACTGGGCTTTTGCCCACCTCGGCACGAGAATCAGAAACTGGGTTTTCCTCGTTGTCAGGGTCAGACGTCCATGCAAAGAAACCAGGCAGCAGGAAAGTGATATTCTGTTGATGAAAAGCAGCGGTATAAATTGAAGGAAGGCTCGGCTCTCAGTCTGAGCAGCCTTCTTTAACTGGCCAGGTAGGCTAACCTTTCCCAGTAGCTCATCCTTGCTGTACCCAAACAGAGTGAGGGCCAGATGGTTGTGGATGCTGAAGATGGAGCCATCTGGATGTAGGAGGAGAAGGCTGCTCATAGGGCAAAACACCCAGACTGTTCCAGAGTATTCCAGAGCTGGGCTGGGCGAGTGGACGATGAATTCTGTAAAAGTTGAATTAAAACAAGTTCAAGTCACTGGATTAGTTTCAACATTGAGTAGCACTATCGGATTCCTTATTTCTAATCTGTTAAGTGGTCCCTAGTCCCTCTACCATATTATATAATGTTGCTATTTGGGAAACTATAAATTGTTGAATTTCCATTTTTTTTTAATGTCTTCTCTTTCTAAATATGCTACAATTCAACCAATTGAGAAACATATACCTAACTTTACAACCAATTTCACTTTTATCTGAACTACTTTACATTTGATCTTCAGTTATAATATCAAGTCTGGAGTTATATGATGCAACATTTTCAGAGGGCTTTCACAATAAATGGTGGAGCATAGTCAGTTATTAATTTTCTTTACACATTATTTAGCATGTTTAAAATTCCATAGAGATTTGTGTCACTTTACTAAGTTTTAAAACAACGTTCTCAGGATTTGAAGTTCCCCGATGGTATTTTGGCAACACAAGAGGAGAGTTTTGCATGTTTTGTTCTCTATTTGGAAGTTCAGTACTGTTCTTTCAGAAGGTGCAACTTACTGTTTTTGTGCTGTGGTTTTCCGCATAGTGCTGCCCCCTGAAGTTTTACACAGAGTGGGACTGATGCACCATTCCTGCTTTTCCCATGCACTCTCTGAACCCTCAAAGTCTGGAAAATAAAACGAAAAAAGTAAAATCAAAGATGACAGAATTACATATTGTACAAGGTTAAATAAAAAATGAGCAGCAATTTGTTTCCTGCATCCTTCTTGAATATATAAAAAGCACAATGGCAAACAATACAAAGCAAAGGTTAAAGTATAAATCAGCTGAGAGTGACTCAGTACAGTGTGCTTACTTTAGACAAAGCATGGCCATAAAGAGGAATTTGTAATGAGGGAATTAATTCCCATACAGATACTCCTTTTAAGTCCTCCGGGTTGTGGTATCCATGGAAATGAGCAAATGCCCAGTCACAGTTAAGGATGGAGCCCTAAAACAAAAGTAAATGTACATATTCAATATAAATTAAAAACAAAATCAATTAAAAGCTGAGGATTAGCTCTGAGGACCAGTAAATATTGATGTACTTACATCTTGTGAAAAGTTCACAAGTCCGAATACCCTCTCTACATTTTCCAACATGACAAACCAGTAGTCTTCATTTTGCGACGGTCTGTATGTACACAGAGATACTGGCACCTCTCCAGATAATTTCACAGCATCCACCTTGCAAAAACACAACAGTCCAATATAAATACACAACACATTTACACTAATATTTTAGTACATATGTGGGAAATGATAGATGCTTTACTGACGTACGACTGAATTACACGTGTAGAAATCAAACAGTATAGTTTATTTCATACCACTTTTCCAGAAACAGATGCAACATGTCCATTTGCTAGTGGATAATCTTCTTCCAGTGCTTCTTCTAGGACTTGACTGGTTTTCTTTAATACTGAAGAAAGCTTCTTTCCAATCAGTTCTTTAGTAGAGCACTCAAACAGTTTGCTTGCTTGGTCATTTGCTGACAATATCTAAGTTAAACATGAAAAGGATACATTTAAAATGCATAATCACTGACGTATTAATAACCAGTACTGCTAGTGCATGTATATTACCTCTCTGGTTTTATGGGAGACAGTAAGAACTACTTTGTTTGGATTAAGGGCAGCTGGATATCCAAGCAGGCAAAACTCTCCAGAAATAAAAAGATTAAGAAAACCATCTTCTGTCTCTGATGCAGTGGATGGCTGTGGCAGGAAGTGAGTAGAAACTTGGGAACCAGGAAGTGTGTGACCAAGCAGATGGCTTTTTCTTCTTGTGTTGGAGCAAACATCAAGATGTTCACCTACAGGCAAAAATGATCCTGCTTAGTGCACAAACAGAAGAGTTTTCATTTGCTGAAAATAAAAGTTAAAGCTTATATCATATACATTCGTTTTTATGAGGCATACAACCATACAGCCTTACCTATCAGGGAGTCAAAATAAACATAACGACGTTGCAAGTCATTGAGGCTTTTCTGGTACTTTGGTTTCTGAGTGCATGGATAAGACTTATTCAGGTGAAAGTCCTCGTCCAGAAGGTCACAGGAGAGTTCAGGCAGCTCGGAAAAAGTCTTCCTTTGATCCTTGATGCTTTGGTTTGCCATAATTTGCACAGCAGTCGACAGCGACATTACGTTTTATCATCTGGGACTGATATAATTGACACAATTTAAACAAATAGAACTGCTTTAATGACAAAGTTACTTACATCGAATTAAAGAAACACCTACCTCAGCTAGTGCGCGGTTTGTATTTTTTGTTAGGACAGACAGCAGGCAGTTTCAGTTGACGTTAGTTGACAAGGTAACGACGTCTCCCAAGAGCTATCATCAGGCTGCTAACTTAATGCTAATGCTACTTTCAACACACTCGCTCGGTTCTGTTTGGAAACAAATTAGCAAGGTCTTATTACTGGCTTCAGTTCAACGGGTCTGCGTGAGCGTATTGTCTGCACAACTTTGTGACCATTCAAACTGAACTGCAGACTTCATTATTACGACTACACCTATAGTGGTGCGTTCAGTTGACTTATTTTGTAACCGGCGGGCTTCGGGCACCAAATAGACACAGAGTATTTTTTAGCCAATCAAATTACTTGTTCCTCAACGCGAAAGCTTATTGGATAATTAACAGACAACGCCCGCCCCCGTTTCTATGGAAACACTGTTACAAGTTGCTCGACAAAATAAAACAAAAATGAAAATACATTGTACATATATACTTACATACTTATATATATATATA